ACACACACACACACACACACAAACACACACACACACACACACACACAAACATGTTTCAACCTTATTAGTAACCTGACAAACGGTGAAAACAAATATCCATGGTGCTACAAACAAGACTCTACATTCAATTTAATTTACTATTATTATTTTCTCTGACCGCGTTTGTTCAAATTCAAGTAATGTCAACTATACGTCACATGTTCTATAGACACAGAACCAAGAACCCACTGCCTGGACTTTTTCTCAATCCACTGATGTGGGGCTGCAAGTACGATTATCAATTTGTCAATTATTAGTCAATACAAAATATTTGGAAAGTTCAGGATAGTGTGGAGGGGGTGGAGATGCGTCCATCTTTATATGCAGACTATGGTGAACACTGTTTCACAATGCACACACAAGGTGCAAACACATTAACACAGCTACACACAAACAGAAAATGGAAACACTGACACAACACAAAATCTCTGAGACATGTCTTCACAGTCACAGAAGATGACAGGACTTCCTGTTTCAAAGGCCCCAAACTTCTCAGAGAAGCTTTGTTCACTTCCGAAGACTTTGCCTTTATATTTCCAGAGAGTGAAAAGGACGAGGACTGAGAAGTGTGTGTCAGAGAGTTTGCACATTTACGTTCATGAATTTTATCTTTTTGGTTTCTGCTACAACAAAGTTCACACCTGTGGAGCAAAGAGAGGAGTTTAAAGTGAGAGAGAGCGATGCACCACACCATGAACATCTGGATTCAGTCTAAACAAACACACACGGGGTTTGAGTGAGCACATGTTGCTGAAGGCCGATGATTACCTTTGGAGTGGGGGTGCTCGGCTGCTGATAGCCGCACAGAAACTGGTGTGAGAGGAAAAGTCAAGAGGAAACAGAGAGACAGCAGAGTGAGAGGAGCGCTGTGACATTAGTAAAAGACAAACACTGCGAGGGGAAAAGCTGACGGGACGCAAAAGTCACCAACGATAATATCACGTGAAGACAGCAACACCTTCAAAGTCAAGACAAACGTTAACAAAGGAGGTGGAAAATATTAATCCATCACTACAGGATTTAACGTGAAATCCGATGGGTGTTACAGTAATTTGAGTTCTCACCATGGCCACGTCCGCCTGGAAGATTTGCTTGATGAACTTGTTCTTGGACGAGTGGACGAGCTGGATGATGTCGGTGTGGAGGCTGTCTCGGTTTTTCTCCAGGAATCCTGGAGGAGGGAGGAAAAACAGGTCATTTAACGCCTGCAGCTCGAAAACACAGGACAAAATGAAATACTGGTACTTTAAGAATCTTATGTGACCACTGGGATTCATGACAAGGGTAACTACAATACAAGAACTCACAGCAAGTTCATTGCTAGGACTATAAAACATCAGAAACTAATCAAAAACACTCATCATACTTTCTCAGAGCAGAAGTTCATGTTTTCAGACTAACAGCCCAAAACAAGGTAAAGACCTGATTCATTTTCATTTAATTTATTAATCTGTTAAATCGCTGATATCAACTCTGTGCAAGGGACAGAAGAGAAAATCTGGAGGACAAAATTTCACAGAAACAAATAATTAAATGTGCTCTGTCAAGAACAATGAGTGAAAAATCATGAAATCGTACCTCTGGTCTCGTAATGCACCACACCAGCAAAGTGCTGGATCCCAAACTGGGTTTCATAGCTGTTTTTAGGAGGGATGTAGTTGGAGTTGAGCTTGTGCTGCGAGTTGAGCTTATAGAGCATCGTAGCATCAGTTCCCTGACAAAGGAAAGAACCAGGAATCAATTATACAGCAACGCAAAATCATATTATATAATAAAGAGCATGTAGCAACGTATATACATCACACAGTACATCACTCTGACGACAGCCTGGAGTATCTACGAACATTTCTAATCACAAAACATGTTTTAAAACCACTACACAGCTTTCACACCTTAGGAAACTTGCTCTCCTCGTCGATGAGGGAGATGATGTTCATGGGTTTGTTGGCGATCATGTCCAGGGCGTCCTGGTTGTCGGTGAACTCGATGTGCTGCCAGCTGATGTCCTCCAGGTTGTACTCCTCCTGCTCCAGCTTGAAGACGTGACGCACGAAGAACTGCTGCAGGTTCTCGTTGGCGAAGTTGATGCAGAGCTGTTCGAAGCTGCAGGAGGAAGATCAGAGGAGCAGAGATGTTTTATGGGATTTTGATGAATAGATTAAAAATGTTAACCTTACTTCTGATCAAACCACAAATAAAAAGACCTGTTGACGATGAAGTTCTCGAAGCCAAAGATGTCCAGCAGCCCGATGGATCTGCGCACGAGGTTACTCTCGCAGGACGGCGGCCGGTATATGGCGGCGTTGATCTTATCCACGATCCAGACAAACAGTCTTCCGTAGATCCCCTGACACATGAAACTCAGAGTCAACACACAGCTCTCCTTCTTTTATTCTGTTAAGAGATTTCATCTGTGTTTGAATTTTTTCATTTTAGTTCAAATTTAATTTAATCTTATTGGAGTTTTTATGCTTTAGTCAAACACTTGTTGAGAAAAGTGCTATAAAAATAAAAGTTGTTATTTTTAATATCTTATATATTGATTAAATTAGGTATAACAATATTTCCCTACAGATCGTGTTCCTTTTCATCTTTTACTTCTCAGTTTAATTATTAATTTTATAATTTAATTATTTTATGTCAATACACATATTTGTATTATAACGTGTATATCTTGTATATTTATGAATATATGACTATAGTATATTTACTTATTCATGAATTACAGCTTCAATCAGACCCAACAGTGACGTCAGACCCTGAAGTATCTACATCACTAACCAGGTGAGAAGTTCAAGTCCTGGAGGTTTGAAAAACTAGATTCATGGAGTTTACTGAGAGTTTTTTAGTTTTTGAATCTCAATCTTTTAAAATAATGTTTTGCTCTGAACTGTGTTGTGTATTTATGTGTATTGACTTTTTTTCCCCCAATGATTTGGTTGAAGATCAAACCTTAACAAAGGCGTCCCTGACATCCAGGCCCTGTCCCACACTGAGAGGCGTCGCCACGCTTTCCCCTCGAGTGATCAGGGTTCGTGTCGTCAAACACACCATCACGTCCTTAGGCTCCACCTACAATGAACAACGACCATTAGAGGAACTTGTGACTCTTTCTTTCATAAGATTAATACATGCACTTGTGGTTCACACAGACACACACACAGACACACACCTCCATGAGTGAAGCAGCAGTAACCAGGTCAGGAGATCTCACAACCACACAGGCGTCCAGGTTGTCATACGTTCGAGCTGAGCGACACGAGAAAGATTTTAATTTTCAACACCTCTGGAGAATTTACAGTCCAGAAACTAACTTCAGGTTTTACAAACACAACGGAGTGGCACGCACCCTCGAATCGCAGGTTCCCCATGTGCAGGATCGCAGCGAGCAGCTTGGAAATCTCCCAGTTCTCCGTCTCAGTGAACATGAGGACCTTCATGGCCGACAGGATGCTGGAGTAATCCCTCAGGTCATCACGACCGTCACACTGTGTGCAGTTACCCTGGAAGATTAAATACACAGACAGCCTCAGCTTATCTTCTTTAATTATCAAGTTTTCTTTGCAGAAGTGAAGTGAAGCCACTTTGTGCTGCTCTTAAGTGGAAATGGGAAAGTTCAACATTTACCAAATCAGCCCGTTCTCATCCCCGACACATTTCCTCCGATAAGATATTTGTATGAAAACACAACAAAACATAAATCTGAGTATTTGTAGAGCTGAATAAAAAAATGTCAAAGTATGTTTCAGCTTGTCAAAGTGTTATTCTTCTGCTCTTCTTATTTCTCTACGCTAGAAAACAAAAACAGAGACGTGGAGGAAATGCACCCAAACTTTTGTCCACATGAGTACATCAGTACCTACACACACACACGACTCACCATGGTGAGGTAGGAGTAATCTGTGGCGAGGCCCAGACCCAGTTTAGCTTTCAGCTCCGGAGGCATCCCCTTCAACACACAGTAGAAAATATGGTAGTTCCTCTCGTCTGGAGCCTGGAGGAGAAACGAGGAGAATCGAGAATGAAGAACAAATGATTTCCAAGAAAAACTTTACTTTTAACTTGTGGATGTGTAAAAGTGGAAGCTTGTGATCTTCTTCTCAGTTTGTCATTTCATCACATATTATCACTTCTTCTGATCTGACGTCTGACCTGTCGACACACTCGAGACTTCTCCAGCAGGTACTGCTCGATCTTGGCTCCTTCGATGGCGCCTCGCTTGTTGAAGTGGATGTCGATGTATTTCCCGAAGCGACTGGAGTTGTCGTTACGAATCGTCTTGGCATTTCCGAAGGCTGAATGGAAAAAATAAATCAAGAGTGAGGTGATAGAGAGAAAGAAAGAAAGAAAGCAGAGACACGGACCAATGTGTCTTGATAATATGTTCAAGTTCTTTTTTTTAACTTTGAGAAAAAGTAAATTTGAACATCTATAAATCTTCTGCTGATGATGAAGATCAATCGATAATTAAAAGCTCGATGACAGATGTCTCCGAGTCTTCCAGGGTCACAACTCTGAACCCTCAGATTTTGATCCCACATGGATGAAGTTTTGAATTTTTATTCTTCCACAATTTCCTCTCTGATGAAACAGAAACCAGAGAGGGAGATAATATTTCATACAGTTTTTAAAAAACAACATCTGCAGCCGTGTGACCTTCGAGGATGGGCGTGGCCTCCAGGACCTGCTGCTCGATCCAGGAGTGTTGACCGCTGATGGCAGCGAGGAACTGCAGGATCAGCTTTGTGCTTTCTGTCTTCCCAGCTCCAGACTCCCCACTGTCACACACACACACACACACACACACACACACACACACACACACACACACACACACACACAACACAAATACACATTCCCTTAAATACACACACTTAACCTGCAGGACCTCCTGGGTAAATAAAGGTTTAAGCATGTCTGTGTGTGATCCTGTGATTTCTGATAGATTCATATAAATGGTTTGTGCACACACACACACACACACACACACACACCTGATGATGCAGCACTGGTCCTTGTTGTTCCGCTGCATGTTGAAGTAGCAGTTGTCTGCGATGGCGAATATGTGCGGCGGCAGCTCGCCGATCTTCTTGTTGGTGTAGAGGCGAATGTGGTCGGGTGTGTAGATGGGAAGCAGCTGGTACGGGTTGACGGCCACCAGGATTGAGCCGGTGTATGTCTGCAAAGACCAACCAAGATAAAACCAGAGGACTTTTAATCACTTTGGTTTTTCACAGAACAGCTTTCCTCTGAATTTCAGAGTAAGTATTTTGTTTTATTATCTAAATCAGTCTTATATTGTAATTATGACTTTATTGTATTTGCATCTGAATCTTTAGCATTTCTACTGCTCAGCAACTATAGCTCATTATATTATCGTGTGATTCAGTTGCACTAAAGTTCTAATTTCACTGATTCGATCAACCGTGAACTTTCTTTACAGCGAACTAATGCACGTCGTTGTATATGTACACATTAGAAGTTACTGAGTATATAAGCAAGGATGGAAATTAGTCGTTAATAGAGCAAGAAAAGAAAGTGAGGGAGAGAAATAGATTTTTACTTTTGTTAAACTCAAGATAAAAACATATTATCTTGTGATATCAGCCACCGTTACCTTCCATGGTCCTAGCAGTGAGATATTATGAATATAGAGAACGACATAAAGGCTAAAAGTTTGTCAAGAGAAAGCAGCAAATCTCAGAGTTTTCTATTTGGACTTTTTACTCACCCTTCCACCACAATTAGTCTAAATGGAGAGAGAGGACAAAACAACCACACACCGTTATATAATTAAATATCAACCCACTCACACAACAACACACTGCAGGAGCCTGTTTACAAGCCCTGGTGGGTTTTTGAATAAAGCTTCTGCGTTTGTCTCATAAATAGAAGAAAACAATCCTGTGATGATGAGGTCCTAATCCTGGAGCTGTGAGAAGAGGTTCAGGTGATTGTGTGATGAACGATAGATCGATGTCAGAGGGTAACGTGGATGGTTTTATTCATATTATGATTGTTAACATTTCAAAAGTCCAATTGTCCAAAGTGAAAACATTTGTTTTGAACTGGTCTTTAAATCATCCAGTAGTTGCAACATAGAAATAATAATGAGATGCGGAGTGTGATACTCTCTCGTTAGTGGAGACAGTGTCTTCTATAAATGAACCTCTGGATCCCAGACAATGAGATTCTGCTTCATTCATAGCAACAAGTAAACTCTACTGCCGGGAATCCCAGGCACAAGTAAACAGCTTAACCTGAATAAGAAATGTTCTGGGCTCTGCGAACATCTGTGTGACATCTGTACGGTTACACCGGTGTATCAAGAGGTACTAACGTAGATGACGTGCTCGTTGTAGCGGATGAACAGGTTGCGGAGGATGCCGGCTTCGTTCAGGTCGCCCAGGCGGATCATGTCCTCCACCCCGTGGATGGAGGTCGGGTGCATGGGCTTGATGTTGGTGGCATTCTGAGGAGAGATCCAGTGCTCCTGTGACAGAGAGGGACCACGATAATGACTCACTGAGGTCAAACAACTACAGTTCACATCCAGCTCCTGCTCTGCTGTCCACGTACCCGGCCTTCATCGTCCAGAACCTGGATCGGCCCGGAGTCGCACAGTTTGACCACGGCTCCGACCGGGACGTCAAACTCTCGGCCCGTTTTAAGGTCCAGCCACACATAGTCCCCCTGGATTATAAAACACGTCTCTGGTTAGATATGGATCATTTCACCCAGAATTCACAGTGACAGAGGAAAATGACAAGTACTCAGTTTAATCACATCATAATTGATCATTGTTAACATTTGTATTAAATCATTGGAATAAGTGTTTTCTTGCTCCTGTTCGTTTATATAAAGTATATGTAATTAATCTGTTTTCTGTGAAATATTTAAAACCAATATTGAGCAAAATCTTTTATGACAGTTGAACTTTTCTCACACGAAATAACAGCTTCATTGCTTTGTTTAATCCTCCGTCATTTGTTTCTTCTTTTACGTACTTTCTTTGGTTCCTGTGATTACGGATTTTAAATGAGGAGAATAAAAAAAAAAAACCTTACATGATTCACCTGGAGTTGCTTTATTCACTTTTTAGCTGCCAACTTTCTAAATGAGGGATTTAGTATGAAAACAGTTTAAAGGTGACGATGAGGTGATGTAACCTCTGAGGTTAGAAGTGTGTGAGGTTTAATTCTAGTGGAACAACCTCAGGATACTTTCAGGACAATGTCTGGAGTTCAGTGTCTCAATTTTTCAACGATGCTCCGTGGAAAAGAGTTTGATGAACGTTGTGCTCTCTTCTTTAGTAACCGCACAAAAAAAAGTGCTTTAGAAGATTTTGATTCTCGTTGATTCTCGGGAAAACTGAGAAAATCTGATGAGCCTGCTTTTGCAATGTTCTTGATTTAATAAGACTTTTTTTGCTCTGTCACACTTTGCTGCTGTGATCTCATTTATTCATCAGGCTCCATCTTATCTCAGAGTGATGTTATAATTGCTTTCTGCTTATCTCGGTTTTAAGCTTATCATTTTCATGCGAACAGTGTCTCATGGAAGTTAAGACAAACTGAAAGACAGACACCGTCCTTTGACAGGCCGTGCTCAGATGGCCTTGAGCTCATAGGCATCAGCAGGGGGCTGCATCCTTTGGAGGACTCGGTCTGCTCCATTAATGTTGGTTGGACGGAGGCAGGACGAGCGGAGTAGGGAGGCAGACCCATAATGAGACAGTCTGGTCTATGCAGGATTTCACTTCCAGTTTAGTTTGTCCAGGGAAGGATCTTTTGTTGCCCGAGAAAGGAAGGACACATTTGTCAGCTGCATTTGAAGGAGCTTGGTCGCACCACAATCTTCAAATGCAGCCTCGGAAGGATGCGGCCCCTGTGTTAGCTTTAACGTTAGCACAAGCCGTTGTCCTACGGCTACTGCTGGGAAATCTGTCACTTCAGCTACAAATGGGAATCGAAACATTGATTCATGGATGGAACCTTGTTCGACCCAACGTGACCGACCTGCTGCAGAATGACCATGGTTCAGCTGCGGGTTGGTTCCAGGACATTAGACGTCACAGAGCGCGGCCTCTGCAAACAGAGACAGACGTCAGGCGACTGAGAAACAACAAAACTTCGTCACACTCGAAGGTTTAAAGAAAATCGGACTGGTTGACATTTGCTTTGCCACACAGGATAAAATGGCTTATTTCCACCCAAAAGAATGTGTAACCTCATACTTCACGGTGCTGCGTCGGAGGAGAGACAATCGGCCATGTGCTTCAGCTGGGGGACCAGAGGAGGGATGGGGGGTGGGGGGGTTAAAGGCTTACTTGGATTCCTGGGGCTAATCCTGTCGCTTTAGTACGAGGCATAATTGTTGACTGCTGAATCATTTTCTCCCCCACTGAGCTGTCTTTTCTTTGTTGGTCTTTGTTCTCCTCCTTCAAAATGTCGGTGCTGTGGTACTGTACAGACTCAGATAC